CCGAGCACACAGCCAAACAAGCAAGCACAGCAATATGGCCAAGGGCAAGAAGAGCGGGGAGGCGAAGGGGACGCAGAAGCGCCAGAAGAAGATCCTGCGCGAGAACGTCCGCGGCATCACGCGCGGGTCCATCCGCCGCCTGGCGCGCCGTGGCGGCGTGAAGCGCATCTCCGGCGTCATCTACGACGAGGTGCGGGGCGTGATCAAGTCCTTCGTGGAGGGCGTCGTGCGCGACGCCACGGCGTACACGGAGTACGCCCGCAAGAAGACCGTCACGGCCGTCGACGTCGTGAACGCGCTGCGCAAGCGCGGCAAGATCCTGTACGGCTACGCGTGAGGTCCGACGCGGTAGAGGAGGTGGCACGTGCGGCGGGCCGGGGGCCGGCGGCAACGCCACTCCCCCCCCGCAATCATAGATAGAAGAGCATCTGGGGAACGACAGTGGGACTAGCCGCTTGATTTTAGGTTTTGATTGTAGGAGGAGTGTGTTTCTGTGTCTCGTTTTTCTCTGTTCTTTTTTGTTTACTTTATTGCGGGATGCGGTTTTTTTTTGTGTTGTTGATGGGTTGATTTTGTGTTGCATTGTTTTTGTGCATCGTTGGTAAAAATTTCTTGCGTGTTGTTTTTGTATCGCGTGGTCTTCTTTTTGTGCTTCTTAATGGCTTTGTGTTGTTGTTGTTGTTTTTGTACTTGCCGTAGGTGTCTGCCGTCTTTTTTTTGTCTACGGCGGTGTGTTGTTGGATGCGGCGGAGGCCTGGGGTGGGGAAGTCCCCCGCCGCTCTGTGGCGCTGGCGTCGGGTGTTGTGTTATGCCGTTGTGGTGTCGCTGATCGTCAGTGTGGGTCTCGTCTCGGTCGGCGTGTGGATGTGTTTCCCCGAGGAGGCGGTTGCGGCCGGCGACGCGGCGGCGACTCTGCGGCTGCGGCTGCAGTTGTCGGAGTCGGCGATGGCGACGCGGCGTGGCTGCGACAAGCCGCGGCGCAGTTTTGAGCCCCTCGGGGAGTTTCGTTTTTGGGGCCGCACGATGAATGCGTCGTGGCCGTGCCCGACGGCGGGGATGAACAACCAGCTGATGCTGCTGATGGGGCGGCTGCACTGCCTCGCGGCGCGGGAGGCGCGGAGTTTTGCCGCCGCCAGCGCCGGAGGGCCGAGGCACATTTCTATTTTCAAGTGGAAAGATGTCTCATGTACGCCGATGGGCGGGAAGGAGGGAAGGCGCCGCTACGCCGTGGGCGGGGACGACTACACGTACACCTGGTTCCGCTGGAGCGAGCTGCTGCAGTTTGACGACTTTCGTGTGTGGCGCGGAAGCGGTGGCGCGGTGGGGCCCGCGGAGGTGACGTTGGGTCCTCTCGACAACGCCGACGCCGCGCCACGGGCCGCCGAAGTGCATGTCACGCGGGTGTGTCTCTCCGACGCGTACGGCTGGAGTGAGCAGCCGTCGCTGTCGACGTGCCCGGCGTCGGTGGACCACATTTGGGGTACCGCGGTGTACTGGGACCTCCGCCGCGCGCTGCGGCCGCATGCGTGGTTTGAGCGGGCTGCGGTGGCCTTTTTGCGGCGGCGCGGCATAGCCCCCTCGCCGTCGCAGCAGCACATGCACGCCGTGATGTCCCTCCACGTTCGCCGCGGCGATTATAAAAAGTTTTGCCGCGAAAATGAGCACGGGAGGGGACGTCGTAAGTATCGCGTGCCGCCGTTTGTGTATTTGAAGCGCTGGCGTCACGTCAACTCCACCATCGTGGGCAAGAACTTCTGGGAGGAGTGTTACCCCTCCCTGCAGCACATCGTCGCAACCGTCGCAAAGGTGACGCACGCGCACGCGCACATCACCAAGGTGATGCTGATGACTAACGTCGCGGGCTTTCGGGCGCAGCTGGCGGTCGCGCTGCGGCAGCTACCTGCCACGCGACATCTTACGCTTCTGTCGTTTGTGGCGGCCTCCGCGGATGACAAAGCGAGAGACACAGACGCGGGCTCTCGTCATGCTGGGCTTGCGGGCGTGGGGGAAGTGCCACCGTCGTACTGGCCGCGTCGCGTCGCATACTACACGAAAGCTGAGGCCGCATGGATGGACATCACCCTTATCTCCCTGGCGGAGGTGATGGTGCTCAACCGCTACAGCACATTTAGCCACTCCGCTGTTGACCTGCATATTCTGCGAGAGAAGCGGCTGGCAGCAAAACTCCTCTGGTGGTGATCGCTGAATTTGTGTCTGCCGTGACGCGTTCCGGAGAGTGGGGAGGGAGAGTCGAGTAAGGCCGTGTGTGTCTGTGTGCACTTTCCTGTTAGGCTTTTTATTGTGTGTCATTCAGCCGCTGCTTATTTTTCCCCTCCCCCCCCCTCCTTGTGCGTGTGTGTGTGTCTGCCTCACGCATGTGCGCCCAGTAGAGGAGATGCGGAGTGCGTTGGTCTGGCGAAGAAGCAGCGGAAGGTGCGTGGGTGACGTTCTGGACGCCATCATTGACAAGACAGGCGTCTGCGGCGACGGCGAGAGGGAGCGAAGGGGCGCGCGGCGGAAGCACCGCAACCGTCCGCCGGAGGGCATCACCGCCGCGGTACTGCGGGGGTCTAACCCGTTCTTCGTCTCGCTGCGCCCAGAGCAGGCGAGGGACGCAGGTAGACCGCAGCGAGAGGCGGCGCGCGGCACGCACCGGGCGGAGGAGCCGGCGCCGAAGAAGGAGCAGCGACGTGGACCCAAACACACTGCGGCGGGGCGGGGCAGGAAGCGGAGGCCCAGTACGCCTGTGACGGCCACGGCTACGCCGTCGCGTGTTTTGCCTGCTGCCACCGCTGCTTTAGGCGCCTCGTCCGCAACTCCGCCGCCACTGGGCCACACCCGTCGCCTCACCGCGCGCAAACTTCGGGCGCTGAGCACAGGCGTCACCAAGGCGGCCACGCTCTTCAGGCTCTTCAAGACTCACTCTCTGGAGGGGCAGTCGCGCCTCGTCAGGAACCGTCGCCGCCGCTGCTGCCGCTCTCTGGGGAGGGGGCAGAGCGCGGATGAGGGAGAGGCGTGCCTCAACTCCGCCTTCTGGGCGGCCTTGGCCTCCGTCCTGCAGCAGCGTCGTCGCCACAAGGAACAGTGGCATGCTTTGTGGGCAGCACCGACTGATGGCCGCTGCGAGGAGCAGCAGCGCCAGCTCTTGCGTGCCTTTCCTCTCTTTGGGCTTGTGGTGGTTGTCGAGCGACGGCGGTGGAGCCGGGGCGCGGGGGCCGCCCCCTGCGCCGCAACCACGGAAGTTGTCAGCTCCGCGTTGGGCGTCGTGATGCACGAGTCGAGTGCCTTTGTGGGTGTGGCGCTGCTGCTGCGGGAGGAAAGGGATTTGCGCGCGCTCTCCTCCCGCCTTCCGTTGCGAGGCGAGGGGTTGGGCGGGAGTGCCGCGGCGAACGCGTCAGAGGGGGACGACGCGCTTCCAGTGGGTCGAATTCTGCGTGTTTCGAAGATGTTTCCTGGCGGCACCGGCACTGCGGCCGAACTGCGCTGCCCGCTTGATGCCGCGTACTGCACCGTCGCGAGGGTGGCGCCAGAGGAAGTGGCCGACGGTGTCGCCTCATTCACGCCGCTCGTTGGCCGCTATTTGTGAGGAGGAGCTGGTGGCGGGTGGCCCCACCCCTTTTTGTCGCCACGGGGACGAACGTCTCCTCCTTCTCTTTTTGTCCCCCCCCCCATCCCCCCCTGGCAGCTGTGTGGAGGAGGCGCGCAGGTGCGTCCCCCCTCCTTTCCTTCTTTTCCTCTCCCCTGCTGCACGGCCTCTCCCGTGCTTCTTCTTCCTCCCCGCGCAGCTAAGGCAGAAGAAGGGGTGGTTGCGGCCTCCCTCCCTTCCCTCCTTGCGTGCGTGCCTCTCGCCTTGAACGGCCGACGGGAGGCCTGGCGCACCCATGAGCACTGAGCCCAATGCCGTCACGCTGAAGACGGCGGTGAACACCAGGGCGCCGCTGAGCGAGCGGGTCGCGCGGAAGCAGCAGCAGCGGCGCTCGGAGGAGTCCGTCTCCGCCGGCTCCGCCCTGCACCGCGGCATTCACACAACATACGACGCCGCCTACAGCTCCGTCCGCGCCCGCACCGACCCCTCCGAAGGCAACTACTACCTCACCCTCCTCCGCTCCCAGGGGGCGGCGTCCGCCGCCGCCGCTGCAGCAGCAGCAAAAGGCACCTCACCCACGCCGAAGAAGTCGCCGCCGCCGCCTTCGGCGCCAACGGAGGAGGTGCGGGGCGGGGGTAACTCGCGGTTTGTCGCGCCCGTCACCACCATACACCCGCCCAGCGCGTGGGAGACGGAGCAGCAGGCGAGCTCCCGCGAGGTACGACCTGTCGCGCCGCGTGACTTTTACAGCACCGCGCGCAAGCTTGAGCGCGCGGACGACGACCAACGCAGCGGCCTCGTGGGAAACACGCAGCGGACCGTGGACATTATGCGCAAGCGGGCAAACAACCCCGTTCTCTGCCCCGCCGCCGCCACGTACCGCACCTTTCGCCCAGTTCGTCCGAGGTGCGACACCGACGAGAGCGGCCGCCCCGCGCGGTACTGCCTCGACATCGTGGACTGCACACAACTTGCCCCGCCGACGGAGGAGCAGTTGGGCTTCGACGCCGGCCCCCTCGCCCGCCTGCCGGATGCGGCCACACTGTCGCAGGCGCTCCCCGTGCAGCAGCGCGTTATCACGCGCATGGGAACCTCGAACCCGCTCTTTGTCGGCACCGCGAAGGCGATGGAGACGGCGATACCCAACTACACAGGCTACGCCCCCACCCACCCAAGAAACATTGCGGCACTGCGCGGCAACGACACCGACCCGCTGCGGGTTTGGAGCAAGTCCTTCATGACGCTCGCGGAGCACGGCGGCGGCGTAGACTCACGCACCAACTGCACGAACCCGCTGGTGCGGCGGCGTGGCGGGGCGCGTGCACGGCCGACCAAGGAGCTGCCCCCCAAGAGTGACAAGTCCATCTCCAGCACGGTCGAGGGCTCCATGTTGCGCGCGACGCTACATGACACCTTGCCCGAGGAACGCGCCATAAATCGGCGTGAAGACAAGGCCCTCAACTGGTTTGCGTAGGGAATGATACAGAAAAAGGGGGGAAAAAATACGGGAGGAACATATCAAGCAGCAAAGATGTAAAGTGGAAAAAGAGGCAAAAAAAAGAGAAACGAATATAGAGTGAAAGGAGTGATCCTTTGCTTCTTCTTGCCGCATACGCCCTTCACAAATGTAAATTGCATCCTTTGTCGCACTACTGTCTTTCCCCGCGTGTGGTGTGTGCATGTAGATATGAAAATACATCTCTAACCCTCTCCCACCCTCGCCCTCGCCTTCTTTGTTTTCCCCTCCTCGTGTGCGCGTGTTTGGGCTCGCGAAGGCGCAGTTATCTCCATTGCAGTCTTCCACCGCGACTGTGGGGTGTCGAACAGCGTTACGAAAGGCGCGGTCGAGCACGACCGTTCGTTGTTTTGCGGTGCAGCCAGCGAGGGAGAAGGTGCGTGTTCTTTTCTTTGCTCTGTGGAGGGCTTGAAGCCCAACAGACAGCCACGCACTGCCGAAGCAGCCAGGCATTGCACGTGTTTCCCTCTCCACAAGACTGCAATGTCACGACGCTCATACGAATGGTGCTCCTCTTGCCGCCTTTGCTGGTTTTGCTCCTGTCTTGTTGTAGAGGGTCTTTTTCCGGGGAAGTGAGTAGTGGTGTGCAGAGGAAGCGGAAGTTGCGGGGCTGGGACGCGGCAATTAACCGCTGCTGCTGCTGCCACTGAAGGCCTACGCCCGTGCCACGGCAAGGATGGACAATGTGGCGTTATCTAAGATGGTGGCGGCAATGGCCCTCACCTCCGTTACCGTCTTAGGGCTGTGGACGCCGCTTTTGTGCTTACGGAAGGCCAAAGGCAACACGTCACCCCGGCCCCGCATGCAACTCATGGCGATATCGCGTCCCTTGTCGCTGGCGAATTGTTTCTCGGCTGGGATGCTGATTGCGATGTCGTTGGTGCATTTCCTGCCGGACGCCATCGTGGCGGCTGGGGTGGGCGTGTCCCCGACACGCCTCTGCGTCGCACTCATGATTGGCGTTATTCTTCCCGCCTTGATGGAGCGCTGCACCGCTGACGCCGCGACACACGAAGCGCACGGCCACGGCCACGAATTTGGCCTCACGCACGAGGGCCATCATCACCGATCGCTGATGTCATTCATTGTGCTGCCCATGTGCCTACACGCCATGGTGGAGGGAATGTTGCTGGGACTTGAGCCCTCCATCTCCTCCCTCTTGGGCTCCGCGGTGCCCCTCTTTATCCATCGCTTCTTTGACGGTCTTGTTGTCGGAGTCTGCATTGCAAAGGAGCTCTGCATTGAGGTGGAGGACCTTGACGAGGTGGCGCCGCTCAACACCACAGACAACAGCACGGGAAGCGACCTTTCCGCAATGTTTAGGCGTCGCGTAGAGAAGTTTTCCGTCATTTTGTGGCTCAGCATAATGCCAGTCGCTCTGCTCCTTTGCGTGGCGATCACCAGCGGCCCCGGTGCCAACGGCGCTAATAATACGCTCTACAACGCCAGTCCGAAGCACTCTAGGAATGCCGCGGGGAGGAACCAGAACAGCAGCGGCAGCCACGGGGACGGCGCATGGCTGGCGCTGACGCAGGCCCTGGGCAGTGGCTTCTTTCTCTTCGCGGGGCTTGTGATACTTATGCGGGAGGAGCTGCAGGGAGTACGGGCAGCTGTGTCCCTCTCCGCAGGGGTTTTGTTCACCTCTTTTCTCACCGCCATGGAGGCCCATTGAGGCTTGCGTGGTTTCCGCAGCAAGAGCAAAGGGGAGATGAGGAGAAAAACGCACGAACGTACGTAATGCAACAAAGGTGGAAGTATTTCCCGTGAAATACATGCTATGGGCAGCAATGAGGGACCGTGTGGAGAACCAAGCCGTGGCCCACGCCTCTGAAGTGTCGTGAGCGACTACATTTCAAGGGTACGACGATTGCAAATTGCATCATTTACGAGAAATCTGCTTTACTTTTTTTCTTTTTTTTTGCTTCCCTTAACTTTTCTTGTTGATGTGTGTGCAGCATCGTCGATGCAGAGGCGCAATTAATACGTCACCTCTAAAACTCTCCGAGTAGCGTTTATTAATGTTGCTATGCGTGGCTATAGGCGTGTCTGCGTCCCTCTGCAGTGTGACCGCTGTCGCTTGGGCACTTTTCTTTTGTTTGCACGCGTCCTTGTTGCCGTTGTTGTCTTTGTTCTTCTTGCTGCTTTGGAACGTCGTCTCCCTTCTCCTCACCACCGCATTATTTGTCGAGTTGCATTGGGAGGCAAGCCCCCGCTCACCTGGCAAGGTGAGCGGTTACAAGCGGTTTGTACGATGCAGCGCCCTGTGGGTCGTGTGGGGGATGTCTTTCAAACACACTGCGCCTCACGGGCCCCGCGGCGGCTGCTTCACGCGGCTACGGCCGTTGAAGGGAGAGCGGCGGGGGGTGGGTTTGGCTTCGTGGAAACGATACAGCTGCCGGAGAAAATTGACTGGAGAGGGCTTTTCCGCCTTCCCCCACGCGGCATGAGGGGTGTACCGCCCGCGCGTGTGCTGTGGGCAGCGCGGATGATGTCCCCGCTCCTGCTGCTGCGGGGGCTGCGGGGGCTCACGCGGCGCACGGCGACGACGCTGGCGGTTGCCTCCTGGGCGGATGCAGCTGCCACTGTTGCTCTCGTGAGGCGCGTCAATGGCCGCTGTCACCGCCGTGTTGGTGGTAGGGCTGCGGCCGTTTCTCTGCGACGGCGCTACGCCTGCCCTCTTCCTCGGTCGTTTCTAACTGCGGCTGAGTTTGATTTCGGTGCCATGCGTGTGTCACAGCGGTGCCTTGCGGGCGATGGACCGCTGCAGACACGCGCAAACCACGATGGTTGTGTGGCGGTGGAGGAGGGCGTTTTTTCTGCGGCTCTCACGGAGGACGGTGATGAGTCCACTGCTCTGCAGCTTCCGAGGGCGCGCTGGTACGCCCGCCAGGCTCAGCGCTCGCTCCTTGACCTTGAGAGTATGCGGCAGCTGTGCCAGGAGACACGAGCGCAAACCAACCAGCGGCGGGTGGTAATGGCGCTTGGCTGCATCTATGCGTCCAACGACAGCGGCCTACCTGTGACTGCGGTGATGCGCTGCCTGCCCATCTCCGCCGGTGCCGCCACGGTGGCGGCTCTTCTGCGCTCGCACCGTGCCGTCCGTCGCGAGCGACTGCATGAGGCATTGGCAACCCTCCTGAACGATAGCCACTTGACGCAGGAGGAGGCGTGGGTGGTGCTGCAGGCGATGACGACGGTGCCTGATGTGAACTCGGTCGTTGAGGTGCGGTGGGTCACGGAGGTGGTGCGTCGCGTGGTTCTCGGCGGCGGCAGCAGCGGCGCGGAGCCTCGTGTGAGGACTATGACGGCGCTGCGATTGGGCGAGTGCGTCTTGCCGGCGGAGGCGCTGGCGTTGCTGTGCGAGGAGTCCGGACTCTGGTACGAGTCCGCCGCCTACCGCTCCTCCGCCGCAGGGGTTCCGCTGGAAGCCGCTGAACACAACCGGAGGCGTCGCAATGGGTGTGGCTTTGGGAACGACATGGTGGCGCTCCTGCGGGCCGTGCGAAACGGCGAGTCCTTCGCTGCAACGCCAATTGCTGCTATCGAGGCGCTGCGCAAGGAGATGCCACCGGCGGTGGCGGCGTACACCACCCACCGCGTTGCCGCCGAACTCACGCGGAGAGAGTGGGAAACTGAGTCTGGCGCGTCGGCTAAGCAGGGCGACAGTAGTGATAGCAGTAGTCATGGTGACAGCAGCGATAGTCGCGGGGCCAGTGTGACAGCGCTGCAGTACCTGCAGACGGCCGCGCCGCCGTCGCGCGATGCGGTGGGTGCTCTGGCGTCTAGGCTACACTTTGAGCTGCGGCTTGGCTCGGCCTCAACTGCGCTGGCCCTTCTGCCATCATGTCGTTCCAACTGGGATCGTACTGTGCGGCTTATGCGGCACACACACCATGCTGGTGTGGCGACGGCGCTGGGTGCTCTGCGGGGGCTGATGAATTTGTCCCCGTCCGGCCGCTACTACGTGATGGTGCGGCTCCAACCCTCTCCGTATTGCGCCTGTGGCGGCCATGCTGGCTGCAACCTCCTTTTGGAGGCGAAAGCAACTGCAGAGGGGCTGGGCGCGCCCGAAGCTTTTGAAGGTATGCCAGCAGGTCTATGGCGACGCCTTGCGGAGGCCGCGGCCCGGCAGCAGCCTCAGGTGGGACAGGCCTTTTGGTCGCTGCCCGCACTGTACATCCCCCGGGTGGCTGCCGCCACGCCACACTTGCCGTCCTCGCTCCTGTCCGCTTGGATTCGTTTGCTTCTCCGTCACGGGCGATACGACTCCATCGACGTGGTCCTGCAGATAGCCGCCGAGCGGGGCGTTGTGCCGGAGATGGCGACGCTGGTTGAGGTCCTTGAAAGTGTTTACGAGAGGAATAAGGACGCCGCCCAGCTGCAGCGGTTGGTTCGATGTGTGCGGAGTTTGTTTCCCGATTGCGCCCCGGCCGTGTTCCGTGCCTTTGTGGAGCGCACGGCGGGCCAGATGCGGGAGGGTCCGTTACACTCATGGAGCACTGGGCTGCATCTACTCTCGACGGTGAGCGTTTTGGGTCTCCTGCACTACCCGCGCAGTTGCCTGGAGTCTATTGCGGCCTGCGCCCCCACCCCTGTTGTCTATGCCATGCTGCAGATCCTGAGTGAGGAGGGCGATGCCGCTGCGGAGGGCGGTGGCGCGGCGGTGCCGTGGTCTTCATCGGCCCCGTTGGAGCTTGAGGCGCTGCACCGCCTTCTGCGCTCCGCGCAGCTGGCCGGGCTCCGTCCGAAGGTTGTCGTCATCGCGGCGTCTCCCGCGACAAGGAAGACGGCATGGTGGGCATCCGACACGGCGGCGGCCGGGGTCCCACTGGCGACGGCGCTCTACAGGAAGCAGGCCGTAGGGCTCTGGCGCCACGCCCTGCAAGAGGTATCGTGGCGGAACGACGTCTCAGCCGACGGGGTGGAGGTTCACCACGCCATTCGTTTGGCCTCGTTTGGAAGCGACAGCGTCGCCACCCTCCTTCGTGGCGTGGTGGCGGCGGGGGGAGGGGCAGGAGGAGGGGAAGGCAAGGGAGGCGCGTTGGCGGCCACGGGTCGGGCGCGCCGTCGCACCCGGGTGGAGGGCGCCATGTTTGTTGCGACGCTTGCGTGCGTTGCGGGGGCACTATTGGCACGTGGACGTTGGGAGTCGGCGCTGCGCATCATCCCGCCGGGGGTGACGGACCTTCCACCGCTCCTCCGACTCGCACGGCTAAAGGCGCTGCAACGCAGCAGCGACTTTGACGCGCATGCAACGATGCTGCTGGAGTCGGAGGCGCAGCTGCGAGGGACACACCGGCGGAGCTGGCGGCCTCGTTCCTGCCGTCACGCTCCTTTTATTTTGCGTCATCGTCGTCGTCGTCGCGGTGGCGGGATGCCGGCGGGTGTGCGTCGGCTTGTGGTAAAGATGCAGATGCGCGACATGTTTCGCTGGTGGGAGGAGCGGGGCTGAAACGGACCTAGAGTGCGTTCCCTGCCCTCTCGCTCTCGCGGTGTGTGTGGTGTTTTCTACCTCTCTCCATCCCTTTCTCTGTATCTGTCTGCGTTCCCGCGTCCGTTCGCGCTCGTTGGCCGCGACGCCTCCTGGCGGTGTCATGGATGAAGTTTTGTCTTCTCCCTTTTGTTGTTTTTGCCTCTTGCGGCCGCGGCGGCGCTCACGGGCGCGCAGAGGGGGTTTCCTTGCGAGGATGAGGCGGACCGCCGCCGCGTGGGGCGGGTTCACGATGAAGTACAAGAAGGGCACCGGCCTCTGGGACGAGGACCACGTGAACGACTACAAGGCAAACCGCTACCTCTCCGCCCGGGCCACGATGCGGTGGTACTACGACATGGAGCGGCTGCAGACCCGCAACAGCCTCAACGCCCGCCGCGGCACGCAGAGCCACAACAACAACGTGGGCCTGCACCACAGCGGGCGGGGCGCCTTCGAGCGGGAGGTGGAGCGGCGCGGCCTGCAGGTGGAGAAGTACGCGCTGACCACCACGACAGGGGCGATGCGTGTGGCGGAGCTGACGCTGCTGCGGCGGCTGGAGCTAGAAAAAAGGGCCGAGGCGGCGATGGCGGAACAGCGCGCGGCGCTGCGGCGGCCAGCGCCGTCGGCGTGGTACGATGAGGCGATGGGGCCGCTGAACCCGGAGTTTCTGCGCCGGATGCAGCCGCACTATGAGGTGGACATCACAACCCTGCCGGAGTCCCCGCTCATGCGTGAGCCGCAGCTGCAGCAGCAACAGCAGGCACAGCAACGGCTTCACCAGGGGTCGGCATGACCATCGCCCCTACGAGTAGCGACTATGCGGGAAGAGTAACAGCGACGACGAAGAAGAAGAAGAAGGCGGTGGGGGGAGTAAAAGGAAGATTGCAAGGCGTTTGCTGTCAATCTCCCTTTTGTGAGATGGATGTTGAACTGCACACCGTCTCTCGATCTTATCTGTGCGTATCCTTTTTCCTCACTTCTGCCTTCTCACCGTCACCTTCTCCGCCGTGTGCGGCACATGCTCCGCTGCATCCGTGGCAGCGTGGCAGGTGAGCGCGTTAGGGTGGCAGTCTTACCAGCTAGGGATGGAGCAGCGTGTCCCGTACGACGTCGTCTACTGCACGAGCCAGGATGACGAGTGCCCCATCGAAGAGTTGGAGCGTGAGTCGCCGCCGCGGGCGGCGGAAGCCGTCGGCGCGGCCGCCGCAGCCATGCTGCGGAGCTGCAGGGGCTGGCAGAGCGCGCGAAATGCAAAGATGCCGCAGGCGATCGTTTTGCGTTTTCCTGGCAACGTGGAGCTGACGCAGCTGCGCATATTGAGCCACGAGTGCAAGATTGCCTCCAAGGTGGAGGTGCGTCTCTTTGCGCTCAAAGGGAAGCAGATGGAGATGGACCCTCCCTCGTTTCACACCGTCCACTTCACGAAGCTTGGCGTCGTCGACTTCAACAGCAACGAGCAGTCGCAGTACCGCTCGAAGGAGCGCAAGACGATCCACATGCGGGCGGTGGCGTACTTTGTGAAGCTGCTCTTCCACGCCCCGCACCGCAACGCACAGAACGTCTTCAACCAAGTCGGGGTGTACTCCATCGAGTGCAGCGGGCGCATCCTCGCGCGCGTGCCGCACCACGCCGACCAGGCGCTCCTCCTCGGTAGCAGCCGCGCGGGCGGGGGCGATGTGGCGCCGCCTTCGCAAAGCGCCGAGCGCTCGCAGCGCGCCGCGTTGGACACCGCCAGAAGCCCTCCACAGCCGCAGCCGCAGCCGCGCGAGTTGTCGCATTCGCCGCCGACGACCCCGGCGCGCGACATCATCCCGCACGCCAATGACGCCCCTGCCTTCCGCTCGGTCCGCATTCTCGAGTTTGAGGAGTTCTTCCTCCGGCGTTCGGAGGAGCTGCTCGCGTTGAAGGACCAGGCGGTCGCCGTGGAGGACTTTGACATTGCGAAGCAGTGCCGCGACCGCCTCAACCTCATGAACCGGCGTTCGAAGCGCATCTACCAAATAGAGCAGGACAAGGTGCAGGCCATCATAGAGGAGGACTTTGACGCGGCGAAGGAGGCGAAGCGTGTGATGGACGCCATGATAGAGCGGGTGTACAAGGATGCCCAGCTGCCGCAGCCGCGACCGGACTTTGACCAGTACGCGTGTGTCGGCGACACATTCGGTGAGAGCCTCCCCCCCCGGGTCCTGCAGGAGGCCGTGGCGGAGGTTAGCGAGGGACGACGCAGCAGGGACAAGAGCCGCGGCGATGCACATAGTCGGGGTGGCAGTACGGACGACGGGGGCGGCTCCAGAGAGGCGGACGCGGACGCCTGCGACGCCAAGAGGCAGGAAAGGCGGGAGGGCAGCAACGGCTGCAACAGCGACAGCGACGGCGGCGTGGCCACGGGCGTCGACGAGAGTGAGGAGAACGCCGAGCCGCTGGTGTCAAACTACGCGCAGCGGATGGCAGACATGGTGCGCGAAATCACAAATGAGATTGACAGGCTGGACCCACCGCCGGGGCCGGACGACGACGAGGACACCAACACGCCAAAGGTGGAAGAGGCGAAGCTGCAGCCGTGGGAGCGGCGGGTGGCGCAAGCCATCATGGCGGCCTCCTCCGACACCGAGGGGCCAAAAGTGCTTAGCCCCTACGTGAGGAACACGCGTGAGGCGCTGGACCTCGTCGGCGCCGTGGGGACGTTTACCGCTTGCTGCCTTTTTAGTCGACGCTTCAAGCTGCGTGAGGCGGCGCTTGACGTCCTCATGGACCAGATGACTGAGCTTTACCAGGCGACCCCCTCCCTGATCGAGGAGGTTGTGCTCCGCTTCCTCGACCTGGACGGGCATGGGCTGCAGGACATGATACCAAACGTTGTCGCCGCGAGCTGCGCGTTTGTGCGCATGGTGCTGGCGGACGAACACAATTGCCTCTCCAATGTGCTTGCGCCGGTGGTGAACCTGTTGCCGCGGCTACTGTGCTGCGCCGCGGACGCAAATCCGCGCGTCCGGGAGGAGGCCTTAACCACGCTTACGCTGTGCATCAAGACACCCTCCTTGACGAACCCAACGATTCTCACGGCAGTGCTGGCGGAGCCGGTGGACAGGGAACGGCGTCGGCTGCCGAGCAGTGGGCGCCGGGTGCAGGTCGCTCGTCTGACGGTGTTCGAGCAGCTAGCGACGGCCGGTCGCATGGGACTGCGCGCCCACACGGACAATGTGTGGAAGAAGCTGCTGCTGCCCTGCATCAACCATCAGAGCCGCGAGGTGCGTGACCTCGCCGTGTCCATCACCACTGCACTCGTGCAGGAGCGGAAGGTCGTGCTGACGGGAAAGCGCGTGCTTGCAATCGATAATGCGGCAATCCGTGAGCAAATAAAGGCGGCTGTGGCGGAGGCGAATCCCACCGCCCCCTCGCCCCCAGGGGTCCCGAGCGACGCCGTGGGTACGGCCGCAACCGCTGGTGCAAAAGGCAAAGCAACCAGCGAAGCGGATCTGCAGCGGAACAGGCGAGCTAGGTCCACCGCGAGCGGGGTTAGCCGAGGTGTGGTGGCGTAAAAGAGGAAGCGTGTGGCGGATGCGGTGGTGAGATGGGGCTTATTGCTCCGTTTGATGTATGGCTCTGTACGAAAGCTTCCGTTTGAGCGCCATGTGCATGTGCTTCTCTCTTTCTTTCTCTCTCTTTCTTTGTGTGCGTGTGTGTGAAATTCGACTGAAGTCAAAATGCCAAGCGGATTTTGGAATGTCAGCGGCGGCGCTGACTGTCTGTGGAGGCTTCTTCTCACTGCACCGCCACCACCCACCCTCTCTCGCTTCCCCCTGCACTCTCGTCTTTTTTTTATCTTCCTTCTTATTTATATATGACTCTTCGTTGTTTGTTTTATTGACGTGTCTGTAACTTTGTTGCTATGCATATATCCCCATATTTATAGAACTGTCATGCATGCATGCATTTGCAGTCACACAGGCGTCTGATTCTCGCTCTCTCTCTCTCTAACTTTGTCTGCGTGCAGTGTGTGTGTGTGTGGCTGCCTGGGCACGCGACAATTTTCTTCCCCCGTGTCTTTCTGCACTCGTAACTGAATCACTGCAGTGTGTGTGTGTGTGTGTGAGTGTGTGTGTGCAGCTCGCAACGCGAGTAGCCGGAAGAGAAAGGGAACGGGGACGAGGGAAGGCGTGAGAGCGCGATGCAACGTCCGGCAGAGATGCACCTCGGGGCGGCGGAGGAAGACATGGAGGACGCGCAGGAGGCTTTTCTCGACCTCGACGACCCCGCCAACGAGATCCTCGACGAGAGCAAAATGGCGGAAATCAACGACGACGACGACGACGACGACGACGACGACGACGACGGGGCTCAGGCGGAGGGCGCAGAGGCGCGCCACTGCGGGGCGTACGACGCCGGGGCGTACGACGGGGCCGGTGAGGGGGAGGGCGCGGAGGATCTCAACGCCGTGCCGGACCGTGAGCCGGAGCGCGACGACGCCCTTTGCGTGTTCCGCGGACGTGACGGGCGGCCGCTGCACGTCGTCGTCGCCCACCCACACGACCCCCGCGTCTTTGCGGCGAGCGGGGAGAGTGACGAGGTGTACGTCCTGCAGCTCGCGGCGGATGGGCGGGCGGTGGAGGCGCGGGCGGTGCTACAGGGCCACAGCGACACGGTCAGCCTCTTGGCCTTCTCGCCGGACGGGGCGTGGCTCGCGAGCAGTGGCCTTGACTCCGTCGTGGCGCTCTGGTCCACCTCGACGTGGGAGTTGCAGCACTGCCTGCGCGACCTCAGCGGCGAGGTCCTGGCGCTCCTGTGGCACCCCTCCAGCCTCGTGCTGCTCGCGGGGGGCGAGGACGCGCAGGCGGCAATGTGGAATGTCGCCAAAGGGACGCTCGCCATGTACTTTGCGGGCCACAGCGGCCCTGTGACGTGCATGGCGTGGTCGCCCGATCACAAGAAGGTTCTGACAGGCAGCGGTGACGGCGGCGTCATCGTGTTTAGCCCCAAGACCGGGGAGCAGGAGGCGTACATCACCAAAGGCCTCAGCCCTGACAGGGCGCCCGTCACGACACTCTGCTTTGTCGGCGACGATGACCGCTGCGTCGTTGGCTGTGAGGATGGCACGATGCACGTTGTCTCGCTGAGCGGCGGGCGCGCCGTCACCTCGATGCAGGAGGTACACAGTCAAGCCATTGAAAGTCTTTGTATCAGCCACGGCGGCGCAGCGGAGCGCGTCGCCTCGCCACCGCTTCTGCTCTCTGCATCATGCGACTGCTCGATAGCCATCTGGAACACCGCCGACCTCACGCTGCGAGTGGTGCTCAGCGTTGGCGAGAGCGTCATTCCCGCGGTGTGGGCGCGCGGCCACTTCCTCGTTGCCGGCTGCAGCGATGGGGAGGTGAAGGTGTGGGACGGACGCTCGCTGGACCAGCAACCACTTGCGCGCCTCATGGGGCACCGCCGCATGGTCCTCAGCCTCACCGTCCGCGAAGAAGCCGACGTGCTGGCCACGGCAAGCGACGATGGAAGCGTCCGCTTTTTCGCGCCGCAGCTCCATTAGTCTCTGTTCCTCGTTGTGCGTCGCGTGTGCGGCTTATACCTTCTCGTGTAACTCTTACTGAGCGCAGTTGATGCCTAACGTCGAGCGGAGCTCTGTGGATTACCCCGTTCTCGCTAGCATTTATTTTTAATAATGCATTTACATATATTTATATGCATACATATCAATACATGCATGTGTGCGTATGTGTGTCTGCTTCCCCACATGTGCGTGTGTGTGTGTGTGTCTCTCTCTCTCTGTAAGGGCGGGGGAGAGGACCTTTTCTGCGCCTCCACGAATAGTTATTGCCTTGTGGCCTTCTGATTATTATGTGATTATTATTTTATTTTTTAGAAAACAACGGGAGCGGAGTGGAGGGGAGGGGGGCGAAGGGCAAACCAGGGCAAAGGCATCCAAGGCGGGGAGAGAGACATGTGTGATGGAGGAACACCCTGTCGAGGACGATGCGAATGAAATCAACACGACGCTGCTCGAGCTTCAGTCCGCCTTTGCCGCGGCGCTGCGGAACGCCGGCGTGTTAGGGAAGCTGCGGGCACAACTCCGCGCGGCGGCCATCAGCGTCATTCGCGGCGACCCGCACCTTCGCACAGCCGCCGTAGGAAAGACGGTTCTGCCAGCCGACCTCTCGCCGGAGGGCCGCGTGGCGCTGCTGCTGATTGAGGATTTTGCGCGCGTGCATGGGCTGCAGCAGACATTGGGGGTTTTCGAGGAGGAGAGCAACCTGAGCCTCGTGGGCGAGCCGGAGCGGAACACGGCGCGGCGGCTGCAGGGCCCGCGGAAGACATCCGCGTTAGAGCAGCTGGTGGCGGCCGCCATGGCGCACGAGCCACCGCAGCGTGAAGAGCAACAGCCGGCTGCGGCGCATGAGTCGGAGTCGCGGGCGCCCGCCACCACCGCTGCCGCTGCTGCTGCTGCCGCGGGCAAGCAGGAAGAGGCGGCAGAAGGGGCACCCGTGGCTGCGGCGCACCATCCAGAGATCGCTGCGGGGTTGGAGGACTACGAAGACTCCGTTGACTATAGCGTCATGGACACCACTGACCCGTCGTGCGCCGATGAGGGCATGTACGACAGCATAGAGAAGTTTTAAGCAGAGTTCGGAATGTCTGTATATTTGTGTGTTCCGTCGTCCGCTGTCACTACTATTATCGGTAGTACTGGTGGCTCATTACCTGCACGCATGCAACACGCGGACGGTCTTCTCGCAAAGAACAAACCAGAAAGAGGCTGATCACAGAAATGTGCAAACTAAAACTAGGGCGGGGCCAAGGCGCATTCGGCGGCGGCGAATTCCTTTTATACGCATATGCGTGTGTTGTTGTACGCAGGTGTTCTCAATCGCTTATTGGTGTTTGGTTTGCTTCTTTCTTCGCTCTTTTCTCTTGGTTGGTTCTTCCGCAGGGTT